AAAGTGAGAGAGTGGCAGGGACATATATACACTACCAAATGTAAAACAGATAGCTAGTGGGAAGCAGCCGCATAGCACAGGGAGATCAGCTTGGTGCTTTGTGACCACCTAGAGGGGTGGGATAGGGAGGGCGGGAGGGAGGGAGATACAAGGGGGAAGAGATATGGGGATCTATGTATATGTATAACTGATTCGCTTTGTTATAAAGCAGAAATAAACTCTTATGTTTAAGGTCAACTGATTTTCAACAAGGATGCCATGACAATTCAATGGGGAAAGAACAGCCTTCAACAAATGGTGCTAAACAACTGGATATCCAAAGAATAAAATTGTACCCCTATCTTATATACAAAAATTAACAAAAAGGATCATAGACCTAACATAAGATCTAAACCTTTTAAACTTTTCAAAAAAAAAACACAGGAGTAAATCTTAGTGACCTTGGGTTAGGCAAAGCCTTGTTAGACATGACACCGAAAGCACAGCAACAAAAGAAAAAAAGTAGATAAATTGGACTTCATAAAAATTTTAAGATTTTGTGCTGAAAATCAAAATATGAAGAAAATGGAAAGACAACCCCACAGAATGGAAGAAAATGTCTTCACATCAATTATTATATAAGGGGCTTATATACAGAATAAAAAAAAAGAACTCTTGTAACTCAAGAATAAAAAGATGAACAATCCAATTTAAAAATGGGCAAAGGATCTGAACAGACATTTCTCCAAAGATAATACAAATGGCACATAAAAAGATGCTTAACGTTATGAGTCATCACAGAAATGCAAATCAAAATCACCATGAGGTAACACATCACACCCGCTAAAACTACTAAAGTCAGATAATAGTAAGTGTTGACAAGGATGTAGAAAAATTAGTATCCTCAAACACTGCTGGTGGGAAGCTAACATGATGCTTCTCTATGCAAAAGAGTTTGGCATTCTGAACCATGGTGATGGTGACACAATCTTGGATCATACCAAAAACCACTGTATTACACATTTTAAATAAGTATAGTGTGTGAATTATAGCTCAATAAAGCTGTTAGATGAAAAGATGGAAGATTTTAAAAACTCAGAGAGTTGAGAAATAAATG